TGTGGATTGATTAGATGTGGATTGATTAGATGTGGATTGATTAGTTGTGGATTGATTAGATGTGGATTGATTAGATGTGGACAAGGATGTGGATAAGGATGTGGATAAGGATGTGGATAAGATTGGCGGCGTAAGAGAGAGTGAGGGACACAAGAACCTTAAAAATGGGATGGTATAGCCATCTGCTGTATATATAGAGATGTATTTGGGATTTCTTTTTCTTTTTCCTTTGCAGGAGACAATAGTGTTTTGATATCCTGGTTGGCCTTGTCACGTTGTTTGTTGGCCTAGGAGGTTGGAGGCGGTGCTTGCATGTGGGGCTTGTCATCCAGGATGTTGTTGCCCCCTGATTTGAGATATTTGGTTGTTTCCTTCCTCATTTCTTTGCCTCTTTGCCTCATTCCCTTTTTTGGCTGTGTGCAAGTGGGGGATTGATATGGCACACGGGGGTGGGGTGGAGGCAGCCGCCGCTCAACCTACAACCACGTGGGCGGGGGCTTGTACGCAAGAGGTTCTGAACAGGGGGAGGTGTAAGAGAGAAGATTAAAAAAAAAAAGAATTGATATCTTTATTGTTTCCTTTTGTTTTTTACGCTTTTGCGCTCTGATAAATTTGTGACAATATATATATACACGACGAGTTTTGCATTTGAATCTGCTGCGTTTACCGTCAGATACGTCTTGAAAGTCCTGATGTGAGTATATGCCCTAAGGACCTCCAATCCATTCCCCTTTGTCCAATCTATATATTTCTTAAGACGAAATATGATAAGGCCATACTCAGAATCTGCCCGTTTTCGCAGTCAGATACATCCCAGAAAATCCAACTATCATACCCTAAGATGAAACGCTGTGGCAATTCCAAGCCCAGGGAAAACAGGATAAAGAGGGCGGGAAAACAAAGGAGGGCCGTCTTAAACCCATTCAGGGCCTCATTGTACCATATTGTACCTACCACTCACCAACCGTGTCAGATTGTGAATGAATTGCTCCACTCTTCACGGGAAGATACATTCGCTATGTGTCGGCGATGCAGTGAACGCTCTCACCTCATCCAACTTACAATACCCAATCATCTTTCCTCCCCTTTTTTCCTTTAACCTTTTTTTTTTTCTTTTAACCTTTTTTTTTTTTTTTTTAACCTTCTTCTTCTTCTTCTTCTTCTTTTCCTTTTCTCTCCTTTTTCGTTTAATACTATCTTCTTCTGCGTGCCAACCTTGAATGCGCAGCGCCGATGCTATTCATCCAACTCTAAACGGTTACTTATTGATTGATTGCTTGATTGATTGCTTGATTGATTGATTGATTGGTTGATTGGTTGATTGGTTGATTGGTTGATTGATTGATTGATTGGTTGATTGATTGATTGATTACCGTTCCAATTTTATCAACCCCCTCTATGAAAGCAAGTGACGCTTCCTACCCCTTTCCATTCAACCGAAATGGTGGGGGGGGGGGAGGAAGCGTGGGGGGAAGGGGGAGAAGGAAGGGTGGACAGATAACCAAAGGGAGGTACAGGGAAGGGATAAGGCAAGGGACAAAAGAATTTATACTGTAGGTGCATTTAGTGCAACTCTTAGTCCAGATACATCCATCATGACAGCCCGTTCTATTTACGGTCATTATACTGTAGGTGCATTTAGTGCAACTCTTAGTCCAGATACATCCATCATCACAGTACGTTCTATTTACGGACATTATACTGTAGGTGCATTTAGTGCAACTCTTAGTCCAGATACATCCATCATGACAGTACGTTCTATTCGGGGGAACACGGGAAAACGGGGGGATTCTGAAGATCCAACGGCCGGAAATGAAGAATGCAAACTACGGTCTAACGCATCCTGATAATGAATGTGGACAGCGGCTACAGCCATATTAATATTACTATTAAATGAGATTGCATTTGTATTAGGGGGAAGACGGTGGTGGGACTTGGGCACCCAGGTTTTGTTTCATCTCTTTTTCTCTTGTTTGTGTGTGTGTGTGTGTGTGTGGGGGGGGGGGGGGGGGGGGCGAGGGAGGAGGGGGAGGGAGTTTTGTTTCATCGACGGATTTCCCTGTTCCAATTTCATGGTTTCTGTTTTTGTTTTGTTTTCTTCACCTTTCATTATCCTTTCACAATATTTGAAGTTATCAATTCCTGGATTGATTGATTGATTGACTGATTGGTTGATGGATTGATATATTGGTTAATGGATCGATTGATTGATTGATGGACTGATAGAATGATTGGTTGATGGATTGATTGATTGGTTGCTGGGTTGATTGATTGGTGGTTGGATTGATTGATAGATTGACTTATCCAAGAGAAAGTATATCCGTTGGTCTATGCGTTGGGTTGATTGACAGGTAAACTGGATGTGACCACTTTAGAAGCTTCAAAAAGGAGTTAATTATAATCAAATTAATATCAAATAATACGTAAAATGAAATGATGATTGATTTTGTTAGACGGATAGAATGATTGATCTGCGCACGTTTTTTGGTTCACTTTTTATATTCGCCAAAAGAGAGAAAACGGAATTGATGGTACAAATTTGGAAATTTGTGCAAACAGATTGAGAGCGTAAGAGAGAAAGGGAGTTAAGGGAGAAGGGACCCACAAGGATTCACTATTACCTCCCCCCCCCNCTCTCTCTCTCTCTCTCTCTCTCTCTCTCTCTCTCTCTCTCTCTCTCTCTCTCTCTCTCTCTCTCTCTCCTACCACACACAAACGCATCTCTCTGTCTCTCTCTCCCCACCACACACACGCATCTCAGCCATGCATCTCTCTCTCTCTCTCTCTCTCTCTCTCTCCCTCTCTCTCTCTCTCTCCCCACCACACACACACACGCATCTCACCTCTTCCGTCTCTAAGAGTCTTTCCTGACAAGACGTAGACGAGCCCCAGCTCCCGCCTCCCTGCTTGCTGACAAGATGTGCTATAACGAGGGGAGCACTTGGAGTGGCAGAGAGTGGTGGATGCGTCGGTCGCGGCAAAGGACCTCGCTCCACGCTCCACAGCTCACCACACACACAAAACACAAAACAGGTGTGCGTGTATCTTTCCATGTTCTAGCGAATGATTCAGTCTCATTTTGCACATTTGGAGAGCAGTGGAGCGACGCCCGTCGTAAAGGGACGACGGGTTCCACTTTTTTTTTGGCCCTGCTTGACGGGCTCCACTTTTTTTTTGGCCCTGCTTGCGCTACGGTACTCGCCATCCGCCAAGAGCTCGAATGCATCTGGACAATGACGATGTCCACGTGCAATCAAGATGTTGGCGGTTGGCGAGTAGTGCAAACGAGGCCCTTTCTTTGGGAAGATGCACTCGCACTTTTCTCGTTTCGTGAGTGCTGTGGCGAGGCCCCTACTGAGCTCTGGCCGGAATTGCGGTCAGATACATTCACTTGGGGCCGTAATTGAAGTCAGATCCAGGGAGGTCCTCCTCGGAGTATGGGCCTCGTTCCACGTCACTTGAATCTCAAGTGTTTCCCTCGGGACATCCGTCCAATTTTTACCTTTGTTTTTTCTTTGTTTTTTCATAAATTTTCGAAATGCCCCTGAAGCTTCGGTTAACTTACGGCATGCCCTTATGACGGTCAACGTACACTGTCGTGCCCCCCTGACAACGTATGACGTTTCCAGAAAACCCCTGGCGTCGTTTGGGCCTAAAAAGTGTTTCATATGCCCTTACCAGTACCTCTCCGAAATTTCGAGCATGCCCCTACCGGTTGGCTGTTGAGAACCAACTGAAAAGTTTTCCATATGCCCTTACAGGCACCCAACATCTTTCCAGCATGCCCCTGTCGCCGTTGTTGACACTCACACTCTTTCCCCTGGCCCACGGAGAGGTGCTACCGGGGCATATCAGAAATTTCCAGTAGCATGAGGCCAGCCGTGGGGTTGGAGACTTACCTGTTGGCTGGTGCCTTGCTCATCCTATC